AATAAGATCTAGGTAAGATGTAATAGTTTTTATTAATATATTTCGGGAACTTTTGGATTGCACCACATATCTGGGGGTGGGGGGCAAGAAATATAATGCTCTATAAGGCTATACATCTGTGCCTAGCAGAGTCAGTCAGGCTGTGGTTTTCTGAGTTGTGACACCGTGTGGTCTTGTAGACAGGTACAAACCAAAACAGCATAATCTGAAAGATCACAGCTGTGAAAACTCCAAAACTTATTTCATTCCATTGCTCGGGAAAACGTGTCACTGATCCATATCCTGAGCCAGATTAATCCAGTATACATATTTCCACCCTGTGCCTTTAAGATACATTTTAATCTTATCTATGCATACAACTCCATAGTTGCATCTTCCCTTTAGGTCTTCCAACTGAAACAATGCATATACCTCCCCTTTCACTCAAGCATGATATATGTTCCACCAACCTCAGCGGCCTCCGTAGTCTAGAGGTAACGTTCCCACCTCATGACTCGTGGTACACGGGTTCAAACCCAGCAGAGGTCATGGAATTTTTAAGGGCGGAAAAATTCAGGGAACAAGTCCTCCGGGAGGGACTTTAAGCCATGGGTCCCGTGTCGTAGCTTTATGGCATGTAAAAGAACCTCATATCTCCAAAGGAGGTAACTGAGCCAAATTCAAGGGCGTTTCCCGCCCAATAGTAGTCTCTAACGCCTCTGATAGATGGGGGAAGCATTATAGATACCGCCAAGCCAGTAGAGGCCGAACTCGCTGGCTCGGTCGGGACTGATGGTACGCACCAATATCGGTAGGATATAGAGACTGGTAGAATATCATAGAGGGAAGCACAATGGACCAATACTGGTCTAAGTGCATGGGGAAACCCACCCTTTCCAATAACTAACTAACTAACTAACCTCAACCTCGGTAATATTTAGCGAAGAGTACACTGTCATAATGACAACATAGTTACCTCTGTGGTACCCAGCACTTTTGGTCAATCACTGCTTTCAAAGTGGTGTCCCAATGCTCACACCAGGGCCCAGTTGCCCCATGCACTACAAGACACTGATACCACAGTCCAGTTTTATGTTGCTGCAAACCTCCTTTGTCAAATTCCACAACACTTCCTTCTGAATTTGTCACTCCAATATGCAGATCCATAGAATTCAGGTAGTCACTGAAACAGCAAATAAAAATGTTAATTTATGATTCTTTCAATCTCTGTCTCCATCTTTGCACATGTTCATACACATGTCAAATTCATTTACTCTTGGTACAGTACTGTACTCACTGCAAAAAGTCACCAGTTGTGGGCTTGATAACTACGGAGCATGGATACTGAACCGCACGCACAAACGGATATGGGATTCTGCAACATGTTTATATTTGCAACTGTAATAATATAGTAACTATATGTATCACATTAAAAAACTTTGCATTCTGCTGGTGAAATACAGAATTTGTATGATTCTCATGATAAACAGCAATTATTTCCCTAAATATCACTAACTGATATATCTTAATTGTGGAGATGCAGCAAGTTTCCGGTGAGGTAGGATCTATACTTTTGAATACAGTGAACCCTTGATACACTGCCCCACCTTGTTATACCTTACATTATATTGGGGGCCCACTGAATTATTCAGATCAATTTTTGACTTGACAGGATTAATGGGTTAAAAGTCAACAAAAACAAACCAAACCAATAATTAAAGAGTTAGAAAATGTACACACGGCCTAACAGTTCTGGTATGTTCACTCTGTTATTGTGTCTAGGTTTTCAATTCATCAATGCTAACTTCTTATCCTCTCCTACAAACTGAGTAAAAAGAAAGTGGGAGGGGCAAATGGGTGGTGGCACAACCAGTCCAGCTATTCTCAGTTTATGAAAAGACATAGCATAAAAATTCCTTTTGTTTCTTTACATTGTAAAGTACATTTAAGGAAAAAGTGTACTGAATAAGGTGTAAGGCACTTATTGTTGTCTCATTTTAAACAAAAATTGGCATTTGTCACACTGAAGTATAAAATTTAATGAAAATGTGTTGGACACTTCTAAACTGTTACATCCAGAGGGAAGGATGGACACAGAGACGTTACAAAGCTAATAGCTGCAAAGAGGTGAAGTTATCCCTGTACTTAATTGTTTAATTAAGCACTATGCCATGGAGGCAATGGGTGAGTGGAGATATAGATCCACCATTCTTGACCTTGGCACTAAATGGAGGTGGGTGGTCAACTTCATGCCCCTGCTGCCTTAACCCCCCTACCCAGTATACGAGGCTAGGTGGGCCACAGAGCTCGTCTGGATGCTGTAAAGCAGATTTGTTTGTTTTTGTTTGCTCTGTAGATCAATTACATTGACACAGGACATAGATAAGAATCTCTTGCCCCTACCCAGGAATCAAACCCCAGTTATCCAGTCCACAGACTCGTTGCTATACTGACTGAGCTATCCCAGTCCCAAAGCTAGCAGATGTGCACCTATTATTTCAAACTAAACTGAAATTAATTGTAAGTGCTGTAGCAGCATTTCCCCTGCGGACATGTAATGGTTATAGATAAAAATATTCAGAAATAACTACATGAACTCCATTACATCAATAACATATGCCTATAATTTTCTAATTTCTTTTATCTGCTGACACATTCTGCTCAAAAGCTCTGACAACTTAGTACATGAATAGCACAAACTGGAACTTGAACTAAGTGCCATGATTGCTTCAGTGATTCCAATGTGTGGGAAAGGTAACTTTGTTCCTGTGCCCAGTAAAGATGTATGGGGGAGTGGTGGTGCCCATTTCAGACCCTGAATGCACAACTGTGTATCAGGACACTAAAATGGAAGGAGAAAGATGGGGAACAAAGGAAGAATAGGAAGAGCTGAAGAGGAAAATGAAGAGACGTAAAAGTATCAGTGCAAGAGACACTGCACATGCACTTATGCCACTAGAGCACCACCTACAATTATCATCTTGAAGACACTGCAAGTGTAGGTTTATTTAGGCAATGGTCTCCATAACTCATTGAAATTTAACTAAAATTGCTAAAGCCATTGTCGAGAAAAAGGCAATTCTGTATTTTTGGTTCCCATTGGAGGGGCCTCTATTTCTGGAGCTAGAATCTTCACGTTCACTGAACACACACTTACATTAACCAAACATGGATAAAACCTCTCTATTTGGCTGGTGACCCATATGTACATATATAGATGATAAAACAACATTCCAGAAATCAATTTTATTTATTCAAGGGAGGTTGAAATAAGTGGAAATTTATTAAAATCTCAGGATCAATATTATAACTGTCACAACTGTCACTATGTACATGAGAAAGTAACAGTGGAGAAAATGGGTGATATGGCAAAAGAAAACAATGAAGTGATACAGATGGTTTGTTCCTGACAGGTTGAGTTTGAAAGCGATATTTATTTACAACCATTCCCTGAGGCATTACATTTTCATATCCTTAAATTAGGGACTTCATCGCTCTAACACAGGACTTCGTTGGTTACAATAATGTAATGAAGTTTTCAAACATATACAGAAAGTATAATTACAATGAAATGATGTCTATGAAATTATGCAATCATGGGTCACTGCAGCAACAAACTGTCGAACAGTAATACGTTGCAAGTTATGCAGTAGGTCATGAAGGAGCAAGCAGTCTTTTGTTTCAGTATATCATGTATATTCTGTGAGTAGTGATATTACAGTAAACCCTCACTAATTAGGGTTAATGCGGGGGGTAATCAGGATTAAACAATAATCTGAATTAATGAAGCAAAAGATTGCCGTAAAAGACAAAAACTTAGAAAACAAATAAATGGAATATTTAATAATATAGGTAGCGCTGATGAAAATAAATAAAAAAAATTACTGCAGCAATTTTTTCTTTTGTCAGAAACTGAAATCCAGGGCATCCTTCATCCAGCTCAAGCCAATCTTGGATATTTTCTTGCGTGGCTTCAGTCTCTCCAGCTGCCCTCTACACAGTCTGAAAGTCTGCATGCTACTAAATCCCATGTGTCTTTTAAAGTATGTACTCAACTGTTAGCAGAATTTTTCATATCTCAGTCCGGATTATCTGACATCTGGACTAACTGTAACCGGTTTAGCGAGGGTTTACTGTGTTTTGATGCGAGGTGTATATAAAGGAGATGGTTTACAGCTGACATTTTGAGTGTTATTCATAGGAGATGGCGCTACACATCAACCTAGATGTATCATTCAATAACGTGTAGGACTGGAACAGAATATAGAAGAAAGCAAGGGAAATTAGCAGTACAAAAGCTTATATAACAATTGACAAGGGTTCCTGCTCAATTCACAATGGGCCTTATAGTAGTATAATTGCTAATACCTGAAGGGAAGGAGTCTGAACTGTGCAGTTGACAGATAACTGTTACATATGGGGCACTTCTCAGGTAGTTCAAAACAAAACACTTTGCAGATGCAGTGTTGAAAGCACAGAATCCCAGGATCTGTGTCCATTATAGCAGCACTGGTAGCCAACCCTGCAAAGAAATTGAGATAATTCAGAAATGCCACGTGACTGTGTCAAACTTATTATACTGCATCCACCATGGGAACGAGGTTGTGTAACCATCAGTTAGTGATGTAGACTGTTACGCCATCGTTAAACAGTTATTAGATTTAATTTTCAAGATATTTCCAGCAAGGAAGTGTTTTAAGACCCATCCTATATCTTAGCTACAGGAGTGACCTCCCAACATCAGACAACACAATAATACAGCAATCTTAGCCACACATGAAGACCCCAAAATAACCTCAATGAAACTCCAAGCCACCATCAATAAGATTGATGACTGGGCAAAGAAATGGAGAATTAAAATAAATCAAAGCAAATTTACAGATATTACATTCACCCTATGCAACCAAACTTGTCCAATAGTGCAAAATGGGAAGTGTTGATCTACCCCAGAAAAATGAAATATCTGGGCATGCATCTTGATAAAAGACTGACATGGGCAAAGCACATGAAATCCAAAAGAAAACAGCTCAACCAAAAAGCGAAACAAATACTGACTATTTCAAAGGAGCTCAAAACTATCAGTAGAGAGCAAACTCCTTCTATACAAGACAGTATTCAAACCCATAGAGATCTATGGAATTCAGCTATGAGGACAGCCTCCAATTTCAACATCAAAATCATCCAGCGCTTTCAAACCAAGACTCTCCAATTCATTTGGAATGCACCTTGGTACATAAGCAACCACAGGATCGTATTCATGGTGGGAAATTCGAACACCGTTACATGGTGGGACTTTTCTTCCATAAGGTTGCCGACACAAGTTATGATGTAACCTGCTTCGATGAGCAGAAGGACTGTAACAGAACAGATGCACATAAGCTGTGTGGTTGCAGAGTGCTTATACGCCATCTGCTATAGGAATGAGGGCCCGTCATCAGCAGCTGGTAACATAAACCACTACGACACCATCAGAAAGTCACTGCATTCTATTTTAAACATACAAGTTGGTTCTAAATCACTGTAGGGCAGTGGTTCTCAAACTTTTTACCTCTGAGGCCCCCTTGACAAGAGAAAATACTCTCAGGCACCCAACCTGTTTCTTTTATCAAAATAGACATCATGGTATACTTGACGTTTTATTCCGTTTATTTTGTGTTTTTCTACATACTATTTAGCAGTTTTTTACTCAAAATTAAAGTATCACAATATTAGGCCTACAATAGAAATTAGTTTTAATACTTGCAATTAACCAAAATATGTATTGAAATGAAACGATATT